GTGTATTAGTAGGAATGGGTGGCCCACAAGTTATTAAATATGAAAATATTTTAATAAAAATAAATTTTTTTTTGAGTGCCCGGATATTTTCTTCAGGGGAGTGTATATAATAAAAGAATTATTAATAATATTATTATAAAACTTAGATAAGTGATAAACTAATACAAAAAGTATCAAGATCATAAGGGAAAAAAAATTTTTACAGAAATCATTAATTTGCAAATTACAACTATTAAAATTTATCCTAATTATTATAATTATCTTCACCATCATCACTTTCTTTAAGTAATTCATTATCTCCATTATTTTCATTAAAATTTTCTTTATTTTCTATAAGAAGGTTATTATAATCAAAAATTCCATCATCTTCTGTATCATCTGTTTTAACTAAAATTTCATAATACTTAAATGATTTATAAATTAAATTTGGATTAACTTTTTCTTATGTATTCTTTATCTATAAATATACTAAAAAATAAGGAAGGTTTTTTGATTTGTTTAGCTGAAATTAATTCATGAACTTCATTTATCATCCAGTTATTATAAAATTCGCGAATCTGTAAATAAAAAATTATATGATAATTTAAATAATTATTATTTAATAATTTAATAATAATATCTATAATATATTATAAATATAAATAAAACTTATATGAGATTTAAAATTTTTATTAATTACTACATTAAGTAATTACAACTTAGATGTTATTCAACTAGGAATTACAGCTATATTGATTTCTTTTTCTTTAAATTTTTGTTTAACAGAATCAACTAAGTATCCATGAAAAGAATTCAAAATAAGAAGTGATCTAGGATTTAATGATAAATCAGTAATTTTTTAGACCAGATATTTTCTACCCATCAGTTCATTTCATCCTCATTAATCCATTCTTTTTCATTTGTTCTAACAAATATACCATCTGGAAAAGTTTCTCAAAGTATATTTTTTAATTTGAAAATAAAGCTCTAAACAGTTCATATTAATCTGAAAATTTTCAGTTCAGATCAACTTTGGTTCAGTTTCAGATTGCAAAAAATTCAATCTGAAAATTTTGATTTAGTTCAGATTTTTTTCGAATTATAATCTAATTCAAACTGAAAAAAATCCAAACTGAATCGAAAATTTCAGATTAATCCCAAATTTTAGATTGCTTGAAATAATTAAATACTCAGTTAGATGTTGGCAAGTTAAGCATTTAGGGAGTTTTATCATTCATTTAGAATAATTAAAGTTATTATTCTAAATAAACGATAAGAAAATCGTTCAATTGAAACAATTAAATTATCATTCTAAAGAATGATAAAAAGATTGTTCGATTGAAATGATAAAATTATCATTTTAAATGAATGATAAAAGAATTGTTCTAAAAAAATGATAAAAGAATCGTTCTAAAAGAATGATAAAAATTGTTTAATTGGAATGATTAAATTATTGTTCCAAAAGAACGATAAAAAATCATTTGATTGAAATGATTAAATTATCATTTTAAAAGAATAATAAAAGAATTATTCATTTGGAATGATTGAAGTTATCATTTCAAATGAATGATAAGAAAATCGTTCAATTGGAATGATTAAATTATCATTTCAAAAGAACGATAAAAGAATTGTTCATTTGAAATAATTGAAGTTATCATTTCAAACGAATGATAAAAAATTATTTGATTAAAATGATTAAATTATTGTTCTAAAAGAACAATAAAGGATTATTCGATTAGAACAATAAAATTATCATTTCAAATAAATGATAAAAGAATCATTCAATTAAAATGATCTGAAATTTTAGATTAATCTGAAATTTTCAGTTCAGTTCAAATTTTTACCAGTTTACAGATCAGTTTTAAATTAGCCTATAATTTGAACCAAATTGAATCATTTGAAGCATTATTTGAAAATAACAATAGGTAGTAATTTTGATCCATTAGTCATACAACCTAAAATAACTGTAAAGGTACTTTTTTCATGACCTGTAGTTTTAATATTAATAGAACTAACACCATGTTTTTTTAAGGTATATGAATTAGATAAATCAAAAGCTACAGGTATTTCATTCATATTTCTAATAAATTTTAATGAATAATCATACTGTATTCTTCTATATAAGACAAATCTTAAAAAACTTTACTGTTTTTCAAGTAAATCTTCTAGTAAATATTGAGATACTATTATTTTTTGCCTATTTAAAAGATCATGATGAACCATAAAATAATTCGTCTATTTGCTTGAAAATTTAAAGGAAAAAATATTTAAATATTTTTTTTGGTAATTATCAGTTTATACAGTTTTTTAGCCTTTTTTATTACCATATTTCTAATAATTGGCAAACCTTATGCGTGACAATCTAAAATCTACTTTGCTAACTTTTGCTCTAAATTTGAAAAGAATAGCTGTCTACCATTATGCAACTTTAATAAATAAGATGCTCAAGTTTTAAGTTGATCTTTTTTATATCTCTAGTCATGAACTTGATTTATTTATAAGCTAAAATAACTTGCAATTGCATAAATACTACTAGACTAGTTCAAAAAATGTAAAACTATTAGCTTTTTATGAATATACTATTGTTTTTTTTAAAGAGTAATTCTAGAATGAGAAGTTCTTTTATTTCCTTTAACAACTATTATTAGGAAGTCTAACTATAAATGCCAAGTAACACAAAGTAAAATGTGTTATAAATTTTTATTTTATACTGTAATCAATATAGCGTATTTGATCTATACAAAATACCTCCTGATTAAACTACCCAGGTATTTTGCAAATATGGGGTAAATTTGTAAAAAATCTGGGATAGTTTAGTCAGTGCTTTATAGTAAATTCAACTATAAATCAGCCTAAAATTGGCCTTAATTCAGTAACAATTCAGATGCCGATAGATGTTGATTAATTTCAATTGGATATAGCCATTCAGAACTTAAATTCAACCATAAATTAGCCTAAAATTGACCTTAATTTAGCATCATTCAGCATTAATTTAGAACTTAAATAACCATAAATCAGCCTAAAATTAATCTTAATACAGCATTATTCAACATCAATTCAGAACTTAAATAACTATAAATCAGCCTAAAATTGATCTCAATTCAACATCATTTGACATCAATTCAGAATTTAAATAACTATAAATTAGCCTAAAATTGGCCATAATTTGGTATCAATTCAGTCAAATAAGTATATAAAATTAATATATTATATTTATTAAATTTATTAAATATTAAAATTTTATTAATAATAAAACCTAATATAATTCACAAAAATATAACATAAATATTACCAAAACTCACTGATTAATTTTCTATTTAAAAAAATATAAGTAAAAAATGGAAAAACTATGTAAAATAATAAACATATAATCTATTTTCCTTTCTAAAATCCCTTAAATTATCCTAAATATTCATTATAGTAATATTGCTATTTTCAAAAAAAAAGAATAAAATATCAGAAAAATTGACTAAAATTCAACTTAAGTTTCATTTAATTTTGATGGTTAGAAGTATATTTCTATTATAAAAAGTAAAAAAAAATCAGAAAAATTGACTAAAATTCAACTTAATTTTTGTTCGATTTGATAGCTTGAATCATATTTCTATTATAAAAAGTAAAAAAAATCAGAAAAATTGACTAAAATTCAACTTAAATTTAGTCTGATTTAGATACTTGAAGGTATATTTCTATTATAAAAAGTAAAAAAATCAGTTTATTTTTGAAAAGTTAATTAAAATACAGCTTTGTTTTATCTAATTTTGATAGTTGAAGGTGAAAATTGACTAAAATTTAACTTAAGGTCTTTTTGTTCTTGAAATGAATTTTTTTTCAGCATTTTGGTAGAATGTAAAAAAAGAAAATTTGGAAATGATTGAAATTATTTTTTAAAAAGTTAAAAAATTAATTTTATTTATATAAATATTCCTATATATCAGAAATAAACTCAAATAGTACTATGAACGGGTAAATGTGACGCAGCTTATGTGACGTAGAAGATTAACTAATTTGATATAAGTGATATATGTGATATGTCAGACATATTAGATATAGTTAACATATTAGACATAGTTGATATAGTAAATATGTTAGTTATATCATATGTAAATTATTTTATATAAATAGATAGCTTTTAATTCATGTAAAAAGAGGAGACAGATAGGAACTTGACAAGATAGTTTTAGTAGTTTTAGAGGCAACTGGCCTACTGCGTCACCTTTTAGCTTTAGTATTTTGTTTCTTTTCTTTTCTTTTCTTATTTCCTTTATTTTTCTTTACTTTTCTTTATTTCTTTCCTCTATATTATTATTTTACTTGTGAATAAACACATTATTTATAAATACAATTTACTGGCAATCTATTGAATCATAACTCACTGTAATCATATAAATACTTTTGATAAATCATCTGAATTAAAGTTACAAACTGTTGAGAGATTACTGCTCAATTAAAAAAAATAACCCGCTTGAACACCCTGTCTAACAGTCATAATTCGTAAGAATTACACATTAATAGTACATTAAATCAATATTATTTTAGCAAATCAGTTTAATCTGAAAGTTTAGTTCATTAGAATGATAAAACCATCATTTCTAAAAAATGATAAGGGCCATGACATTATTACTAATATCAGTTTAATATAAAGTCTAACTCCTACACCCCCACATAAGATAATTATGCTATTACATGATACTAATAAGTTATACTGCACCAGATATCACATTTTTTAAGGGAATAAATTATATTTTCTATTTTTATATTAAATGTTGCACTTCCATTTTAATGTAAATATATGCTCTTTTAATATATTTAATTGCGAAGGATTTGCTGTTATAATATAAAATTAAAGGATTTTCACATTATAATTGTTATTTTAATAGTAAATTAAATTTTTGTGCTGTTTTAATACAAATTATTAATGTTTAATATATTTATAAGGAGAATTTTAATAATTTCGTATCTTAATAAAAGAAAATTTGTGAACTATTGCTACTATAAACATGTCTCATATAAAGTTTTTAAAAATGAGTTGTCAAACCTACTTTTATAGCCCTAAATTCAATAAAAAGTTAATTTTTAAATCACTAAATAATAAATATCAAGAATTTACCAATGCTTATGCATATAGTACTATGTTAAAAATGGAAAATAGTACTCTAGATCATGCTATTATTTGTCGTAAAGCAGCTAAAGAATGGAAAAATATTAAGAGTAAAAGTGCTATCGAAGTTGATAATATAATTAAAGAATATATATCTACTCTAATTAATCTATATTTTATACCAACAGTAAGAGCGAATTACTCTAACCCTATAGTAGAACTAATTCCCTTACCTATCCCGCCTATTTCACCTATTGTTGAACTAGAAATTCCTAAAAATGCATCAACTCAAAAGAAGATAGTAGAAAAAATTAAAGCAACTGAAAAAAAGCTTGTTGAATTAAATCAAATTTATAGTATCACAACAGACTTTCAGATTAAAAATGATATATTCTTAAAAATAGAAAAGGCTGAATCTAAAATTAGTACAAATAAGAATAAAATCAATAAATT